TTCGCACCTTATACCCCCACATACTTAAAAATATTAAATAGGGGAATCATATAAGCCTTTCCAGAGAACGAAGTCGTCAAATTCTGTACACACTCACAGGAAACTAAACTTCAACCCAGTGACTATACACAGCTTAGAACGAATCGCCTGAGCCCGTGATACTTATAAACGATAGGTTCGTCATAAGTATTGTATACAATCAGATCTTGTGCTTCCCTATATCTGCCCTGGCACTTTAGTTGTCGGTTGTTAAGAAATCGCTGCTGACAACCGTGTCAAAATGTAACTAAAAACTCGCTGCTGATAATCGTATATAAATCCAATCACACACGTTAATGCACCTTTTGTTTTAAAACTAAGTCTCAAATACTCGATACAATCTTTTCACATACGACTTGGCCTGGTACTTGGAGACTGTGTAGCTGTTCTATGTAGCAGGCGTGTGCAGAGCTGCGGTGTACATGTCTAGCTAACATTTTGTCCAATCTCGTCCCAACTAGCGTGACAACCAGGTCACACTCTAATGGATGTAAAGCACCAGAAAGAATTCAAAGATTCGAGAATATGAACATCTCGCTAGCAAGTTGTATGGTCTTCGGTGAAAATGGCATATGCGAGGTATATTGAGCTGAGATGTTGTGTGTAATAAGATCAAGTCACCCTTAGTTCTATGTGCATGGTTTACAAGGAGCAGACGATATATTTGTACTATGTTGACCTGGCTATGTAGGTAGACTCGAAGGAGAACCTTCGAGAGGTTTATTAGGGATCAGTACTTTACTAATTACTTTATTGGACGGTGTTAGCAATCCCATCAGTCACCCCTGATGACCTCTATGCCCATAGTTTCCGAAGTGGAGATGATCTGTTTGCAGAGGGCCTGCATGGAGAGGTGATCTAATGTCACATCGGCCTTCTTGACCTTGGCTATCTCGTACACGTGCTTGAGCGTTATAGTGCCAATCTTGCTGTGTTTGCAATCACCGGATCCCTGAACAAAACAGTACAACGTGACTTGAGTAGAGGGGCGGGGAGTGGGGAATGTGATAGTACTGGGCTGAGGCAGAATGCACACCCTACAGAATAAAAACCGTACAGCAGACAAATCAAGGTTGGTAAAGATGCCAGCCGACAGTAATGTGTCAAAAACTTCATACAGCACAGGCTTTGTAACCTATTCACACACACTTTATAACTCCATCTGGCCGAATAACTGCGATAGCTGTATACACATCACACCACATTCGGAAGAGAAAAAATACTAGCTCAGTAACCTTCCGCACTTGAGATTTCACATCGAGTCAAAACACACAAAGATGACGCGATACGAATGATTCACAAGTCACACAGGAACAAGCGCACATGGTACATGTTTTAGGGTTTTAGGGTTTTCATTGTATATTCTATCAGCAAGTCTACAAGGCCCTGTGAACGAAATTAGGAGGTGCTTGATACGATTGTACCATAGACATACTCGAATACAATGACTACTCCGTGAAGTCCTCGGATATACTGTTTAAAGCCAAGCTTATTGTTGACGACAACAAGCCTCTGACAATAAATGATACAACCGAATGCACACTGCAGACTATTAGACATATATCATATGCACCGTCCGCCCATCCCGTCCTGCGCATTTCGCAGGACAGTTAAGAAAAAACCCCGAATCCAATAGCTCAAAACACTCGCAAACGATCACCCAGTGCACACTGCTTGGGCGGTGTCACTTCCGTCTCAACGCTTTCACGAGCACATGCTGCCTATAGCACCGCAGAGAATACAAGTCCATGAGATAGCAGCACAGCTTCGCAATTACAAATGAGGAAGTCTTGCTGGAAATGCCAAGAACTCTACCCAGGGTCTATACAAGCCACAGGAACATGGTATACCAAACTACCATGGATGATACTTCCAACTTGGCACCGCAGATCCATACACATGTTATGTGTTACACACACCTTCTCCACACCAGCGGCAGCCTTTATAAAGTAAGACACGGGTGGCTGCTTCATCTTATAGGTGAAGGTTCGGTCGGCCTTGACGTCAATAATCACTGGTACGGGTATTCCTTTCTTGTACTTGGCGGTTTTGTCGTTGAAGTCCTGGAGTGGAATAGCCAATACATGCGGTAAGAGCACGTATATCTGACTGCCTGAACAATTCAAATAGGTTATATATTTTTCCTTCAATTATCTCATTTACTGAAAGGCTATCTGCGACGGTATCACGCGTATGAAACGATGAGCACGTTAAATCTCCGTTGCGCAAAAACGCATGTGTAAAGCACACCATAACAGGGTAGACATAGACACCACCTAAGTCCCATACAAGCCACTTGCCACCCCCAAATACTGCCATCACATCACATCACAAAGCAAACGCCACAGATGTCCATGCCAGGTTTGCTGTTTGCTTGAGCATACCTTACAGAACTGCATGATATTGATACCCCTTTGGCCTAGGGCTGGACCAAGCGGTGGCGCGGGCGCTGCTTTGCCTGTGAAATTAATTTTTTTGAGAAAATACTGCACAGTTAGTCCGTGCAAACTGTAGATCGAGCCAAAAAAGGTTATAAATAAATATAATTATGTATCGAGTATGTGATATTGCGGACATGTGTCCGATGATACGTGTAGGGAGAATACATCTCGTAACTCACTCACGAGTTTATTCGTACCTCCAGATCCACACCAGCTGATATCACAGAAGTAGTTGTACACGTTCAATGAGTATGTACCACAAGATTTCACATCACCAACTTGAAGGGGAACAAACGAATACATGCGAATCCGTTGCAAATGCACTAGTCAAGTATTAAACACCCACGACATGCAGTTTGCATACAGCACACGCTACAGATACGACAAATAAATATACACAGCGAACCTTATATGTCATCCTGCATAGGAGGATTTTATCGTTCACAGTCAACAATATATACATATATATATATTGTATATATAATATATATG